TTCCAGTGAAATATATTTATGTTTGTGGTTGTAATGTGACAAAATATGGAAAAGTTCAAGGGGTATGAATACTTTTGCAAACCACTGTATGCATATAAATGTTGCAGACAAAAGATAAAAAGAGTGGGTGGACATGGAGATGATGTTTGTAAAAAATATAATGAGGTATGTTATTGAGCCATTTACATCATATATACAGTATGTATGTAATTTATCATTTTCAACAGGATTTTTTTCCAGACAATATGAAAATAGCTAAGGTAATTCCTCTTTTTAGGAATGGTGATAAATGTGTGTTCCCTAATTGTGAAAGAGTGGTTCATCATTTTCACACATGGATTGGCTTCACAGAGTCCAGACCCTAACTCCATTAAGTATCTTTGAGATATGCTGGAGAAGACTTTGTGCAGTGGTCAGACTCTACCATCCTCAAAGCAAGATCTTGGTGAAGTATTAATGCAACACTGGATGGAAATAAATCTTGTGGCACTGCAGAAGCTTATCCAAACAATGCCACAGTGAATGTGTGCTGTAATCATAGCTAAAGGTGGTCATACGAAATATTAGTGTGTGAATGTTTTTTTTTTTTTTTTTTGGCCAGGCAGTGTAACAAATGCTGTTGATCAAAAACAGTACTGTGAGCGAAGGCTTTCAACATTACCGACCACAAAATTCTCATTGAAAAGTTGAGTAAATATGGCATTAGAGTGGGTACAATGGGTATCTAGTTGTTTGAATAGGAAACAGTTTGTTCAGGTAAATAATGCAAGGGCTCTAGACTAACTTTTTGCACTGGTTGCACCGGTGCGCCTAACATTTTTTCTTAGGCGCATCAGAACAAAAGTTAGGTGCACCCAAATTTTCAACCACGTCACATTTAACATCAGAGTTTTACAGGTTATTTTTTTAATCACTGTTCATTAAGGCAACATTAACTCGAAAATAATTAGTTAACAACCTAGTAAACATGAAGTTCTTTATTTGAACCAGAATTGTAGACATTTAACTTACTGAAAAGTATTTAAAGTGATTCTATAAAATTCTAAGTGCAAATGTTTAAGGGCTGAACATATTATAAACATATTAAACATTTCATGGTTAAATTTTTTTAGACACAAGCCCCTCAGATGGACATCTATGGATCTTTGGCCTTGGATAAACCAGAATGATGAACAGAAAATATTGATTAATAACAGAAATATTCATATTTATTAAAAGG